TGAAAGGAGAAAGAAATAAGCGATCTTGCGACTTCTGTCGCAAAAGTAAAAAACGTTGTTTTGGGGGGAGAAATGGTGTGAGATCGTGTACTCGATGTAAAAGCAATGTCTGTTCTTATGTAAAAGAACTTGAACCTTTGATAAGTGAGTAATACTTGTAAATTCTTTTGAACGAGTGACGTAAGGAAGTCACCACACAAATTTTATATGGCATAAGAAGTCCTTCGACTTTCAAATTTTGCACCTATAGCAGTAGTTGTGGTTGTTGCTGCCGTTGATCTATCACTAGTGTGACATGTTTATCCACAAAATTTCTACACCAATGTGAAACTTATATTATTCTTTTCTATTTTTAACATATAGATCACTGTGAATATCAACCAGAATTTGAAAATTCAAATGGTGACATCTCTCATTCGCTGAACATGCAGAACATTCTTGACGAGTTACCATCAGAAAATAATCTTCTATACTCGCTACCAGAATTTGAAAATCCAAATGGTGACATCTCTCATTCGCAGAGCATTCTTGACGAATTGCTATCAGATAATACTATTCTATATTCGCCACCAGAATTTGAAAATCCAAATGGTGACATCTCTTATTCGCAGAACATGCAGAACATCCTTGGCGAATTACCATCAAATAATAATCTTCTATATTCGTCACAAGAATTTGAAAATTCAAATAATGATATCTCGCATTCGCCGAACATTCTTGACGAATTGCCATCAGATAATGATATTCTATCTTCGCCAAACCGTTTTGTTGATTCTTATGAATCATTTGAGTGTAATGGTTTTGAAAATTTGACCATTATTCCTCCCAATAGCACTTCACAAACAAACATTCCTCAAGGTGGGTGAAAAATTAATTAACGAATACTAATCTCATGGTTGTGAATTATTTAGCCATTGTTCATTGACAACAATCGCAAATAGATGGTGGTTCTGCCTATTAATGTTAATATTTTGCTTCTATTAATTAAATATCACAATTACCATTTTCGATACTAGATATAGAACATATGAATAACGCGGAGCTAATTGAGAAATGTTTAAACGAAGGTACAGTAAACAAAAATTAATTCTTCATTATTAGGGTTGTTAATGG